CTGCGCGCGTCGGTGCCCATGTCAGGAGCCCCTGGAGCTGCGCGCCCCAAGTACCCATCCGGGGCCATTCGCACGACGCACGGTGCGCCTAAAGGACCGCGTGTGTGCCAGTCCGCGCGTTTGCAATTGCATCGGCAACTGCCGTTGGTGCGGCTGCCGCTGCAGCGGTGGCGCGCGCGCCGGTTGCCGCGATTGCCGATGCAACGGCGCGCTGTTCCCACTTATGATCCTGCAGGACTTGGCGCCAGCAGCGGGCCGCCATCGGCAGCAGATATGGTGGCCATGCAGATGATGATGGCAAGATGCGCGGCGTCGACGTCGCCAGTGGATGCGCCGCGCACCATTGGATGACACGCGGCGAACCGCCCGCCGCCATCAAGGACAGGGGTGGCGCCTACATTGGCGGATGTGTGGGCCCCCATTGCCGCTGCCAGTGGGCCTCCAGTGGCACCTCCGCCGATGGCAGCGCCGCCAGCTGCTGGCGCCACCAGCGCCGCTGCCAGCGCTGGCAGCGCCGCTGCCAGCGCCGCTACCGACAACGACGCTGACGCAGCGGACGGCATCGCCACCGCCACCGCGATGGCGGGTGGGAAGATGACGCCCCGCCGCCGCCCCGCCGCCGCCGACGCCGAGGGTGCGCCGCCTGCCGTGAGGAAGCGCCCTGCCGCCGCGCTGAGGCGACCCGCGGGCGCTCGCTGAGGACGCCGTCGTCGTCGTCATCGTCGGCGCCGCCGCCTGCGCTTATATCAACGGATCTATGTGTTGATTCAGCTCTTGAGCATAAACCGTACCCCCTGGAGCTGAAGCCCCCCCTCCTCCCCCACCGCTTGAGCTGAAGCCCCCAACTCCGCCGACCACAGCCCCCGCTGGAGCTGAAGCTTCAGCGGCAACCACCCCCAACAATTGCACATGTACCTGCGAGGGCTCAGACATTTGCGAGGGCTCCCTCATTGGAGCTGCGCCGCGGCCGCCGCCCGATGGCGCAGCCAAAGTGGGTGGAGGTTGCGATGTCGCACGGGGCGGGCGATGTGGCGGTGATGAGGGAGCTGGACTGGATCACGCGCCACCAGTGCCCTCTTTGTTCTTGTCGTCTTGCTTAGCGAACGTAACGCTGTATGCGCTTTGCGTTACCTGCTGCAGCAAAGGTACTACACCGCCATGAGCCCCAAGCGCGGGGAGTATTGGAGTGCACGCCAGGCGGCGGCGCGCTCGATGATGTCTCCCGACGAGTTTCTCTACGGAGACGGCTGCACCTGGCGCTTTGTTTTACATGCTGCAGCATGTGTTATCGTTGGCACCTTCTGTAGCAGGTATTGTCAGCGTGTTTGCTGCCTCCCGCAGCAGGTTCAGCAACCTGGGCCACGTGGCCATCCCGCTGCCCGACGGCCGCACCACCAAGGTGAAGGCCCAGCAGCTGCTGACCAAATACTTCAGCGTCAAGGTGAAGGCCCGGCAGAAGGGAAAGGTGAAGGTACAGCAGAAGCTCACGAAATACTTCAGCATGCTGCCGAAGGCGGGCCTCCCTGGAGCTGAAGCTCCACGCCGCCACCGCCGTCGGCATCCCATTCCGCATCATCATCTCCCCCGCCGCTTCAGTGCCGTACTCGATCACATCACCATCACCATTGCCCCCCCCTTTTCCGCTCAGCCAGGCTGATGTGGGCTCGTTCCTCTACCTGCTCGGCAAGGCTCCGATCAAGCCGATCACGCCGATAAGGGCGGGCATCGACATCAAACCTCTCAAGTGAGCGCGCCTAGTACAACCGCCGCGGGGGCGCGACGGTAGGATTGGGCTCGCCAGTGCGCGCGCCGCGCTCGGCACACGATTGTTAACGCCCTCTGCCCTTCCTGTCCCGCGGAGCTGTAGCTTCGCTACATGCAGGCACGGGAGCGTTGTTGCAAGCATAGCTGCGTCGTCTCAATTGGCGACCCCGCCCCGCCCCGCCCGCGCCCGCCCGAACCCGCGCCGCAATGTTTCGGTGGCCTCCGCGCCCACCGCGCGCCCCGCATGTCCACGGCTGGGCGGGGCACGTCAGCGCCTCGGCCCTCTATTGGCGGCGCTTATTGGTGACCCGAGCGGCGTGGAACTACGAGGGCGCGCGCGCTGTAGCGTGGCGCCAGCCCGCGCTGTAGCGACTGGGCAGGGCGGGGGGCTGGGCCGCCGCGTCGTCATTCAAATGTCAGCCGCGCCCACAGTTGAAGACCATGTTCTATTGGATGATGACCAACGTAGTCAACAAAAACATGGTCGCCCGCAGGTGGGCGGGATGCACCAGCGCGGGCGGGATGTCGCGCGTCTTCCCTGCCCGGGTGGTTGGACGGCACGTGGATCTTCAGGCTCGCTGGTATCGAGTACGGCTACTACGCCCACTATGATGAGCCGATCTTGGAGGATCGGCATATGGGTAGATCACGGCAGCTGCCGCTGCGCGTGCCCTCGCTAGACGCCGTTGCAGCGGCGCGGCGGCCAAACCCGCCTTGCCTGTGAGTTGCTTGCCGGCGGCCCGCAGGAGGTCCGCGTGATGGGCCATGACGGGGACTTACTCATGCTGCCGTGAGTGCCCGCCGCGGTCGGATACTGTCGCGTATAAGGCGCGGGCGTTGACATTGGCGACGGCGGCGACGGCGGCGATGCACGAACGCTGTGCTGCAGCGCCCGATGCGGCCGAGCGCGGCCGCCGCCGTCGCTGCGCGCGAGCGCGCGGGGGCGCTGCAGCCGCCACCGCATGGTGATGCCGACGGCGGCTGCAGCCAACACCGCACGATGACGTCGGCGGCGGCGGCGGCAACGAGCGCGGCTGCAGCCGCCGCTCGCGGCATTGAGCATTGGGCGAGGGAACGATTCGCGACGGGGGGTGATGCCGATGCGCCCGCCGCCGTGCTGAGGGAGCCACGCTGGGGGCGCGCCCCCCGCCGCGCTCGCGCGCCGCCCGCGGCGCCGCCATCGGCATGGCGGCGCGGTTGCGCGCGCGCGCTGATGCGCCTGCGGGCGCGGCCCCCGCGGCCCGCGATCTGCGACGCCAGGCTGTAAATAATGAGTTGTGCAGGCCGCGTGCCCCCCTGCCGTTCTGCAGCCAAGCAGCGCGGGGCGCGCCCCTGGAGATAGCTGAGCGCGAGGAGCTGCCGAGCGGCAACCGCAACCGCCTGCGGGGGACGCGAGACGAGTCGTGCGCTCACGGCCCGATCCACAGGGATATGAAGGTGCCCAGCAACGACCCCGATGGGCACTTTGACCTCGAGGTCCAAACGCCGCAGGCCATGCTTGACTGCATGGTCAGCTCCTGCAGCTCCTTCGCCGCGCGCGTGGAGGACGCCTGGACCAAGCGGCAGCCCGCGCCACAGGACCCGTGGACCATCGTCCTCTATTCGGACGAGATCATGCCTGGCAACGCTCTTGCCCAGACCCTGCACATGAAGTGCTGGGGCTGGTACTGGAGCATCCTCGAGCTCGGCCCAACGACCCTGAGCAACGAGGACGCGACTCGGGCGACGCAAACTCCAGTCCCTGGGCTGCAGCCAACCCACCCTCACAACCTCCAAACTCCAAGCGTCCAAACTTCGAAACTCTGGGCTGACGCCCATCCAGCGCCGCGCGGCCCGCGCCCCCCCGTAGGACGCGTGGATGGAGGTTGCCATCGTGCGGAGCCAGGAAAGGAGCGAGCGGTGTGTCGGGGCTGGCCAGCGCCATCGTCGGCCTGTTCGGCGGGGAGCACGACATGGAGCGCGCGGGCGTCACCGTCGGCCGCCCTGGGCGGCCGATGCACCTGTTTCTGCGGCCAGGTGCTATACTGGCCGACGAGGGCGGCATCCATGCAATATATGGGCGCAAAGGGTCTGGTGGGCTGAAGCCATGCCTCATGCGCGCTAATGTGTACGACGCAAAAAAAAGCGTCCGCGAGGTCCACGTTAACGACCCGACAGGGACTGCCGTCCCTCACACGTGTGCGGACAGCACCAACCTCGTCCCCGTCACCGTCTCCGTCCTGCAGGCCATATTCAGGCAGCTGCGGGCGTTGTCCTTGATGCCCAGAAGCAAGGGCAAGCTGGGGGACTTGGAGACCGACCTCGGTTGGGCCCTCGCCGCGACGAGCGGCCTGCTCGGGAACGAGCGCGCGATGCACAAGCCCTACCCCATGGGGGCGTGCATGTGGGACGTGATGCACGCCATGTTTGCCAGCGGCGTCTTCGGCTCCCACGTGGGCCAGCTGATGCGCGCGGCGAAAGGCCACGGTATCACGTGAAAGGTCCTGGACGAGGCCGCGCAGACCTTCCAGCGGCCCGCCATCGGGCGCAAAAGGCTGAAGCCCTGCGATGGCAGGACGGTCGGCGCATTTGCGCCGAAACGAGCCGAGAGCCGTTGGGAGATCGTGAGCTTCAAGGCGACGGCGTCCGAGAGCCTCGCGCTGACCCCCTGGCTCAAGCACTTCTTCCGCGCGTCGTCGTCGGCGCGCGGGGCGCCCGACATGGCGGTGCACGCGCTGTGTTTCGGCCAGCTGGTCGACATCATTGAGGCCGTCGTCGAGGCCCACCGCGTGCCAGTCGACGCGGCGGCGCTGCAGCGCGCAGCGGGGGGCCTACTTGGGCGAGTTCGAGCGCTTGTGCGGCGAGGGCCCGATGACGCCGAAGCTTCATTATGCAATCGCTTCGCCCGCCCTCCCGCCCGCCCCGCCTCGCGTCGCCGAGCTGCAGCTCTTCGATGAGGAGGGTGAGGATGATGATGAGGATGATGATGACGATGACGATAAGGATGGTGATGAGTATGCTGATGATGATGGGGATGATGACGACGGCGATGATGATGACGACGGCGACGATGACGATTGCGAGTGATGATGACGACGATTATGATGATGATGCTGATAATGATGGCGATGGCGTCGCGGCTGCAGCCGCTCCCCGCCCGCGCGCGCGCACGGCGCGCGGGCGCGGGCGCGGACCTCATGCGCGCGCCCGCGCTGATCGCGAAGTTCGGGCCGCTGCCCACGCGCTGGCCCCTGGAGCGGAAGAACAAGACGGCGAAGAAATTCGCCAACCGCCTGTTCAGCAGCGCCGCTTCGGTCTGCGACAGGTGGGACCGCGGCGTCTTGCGGGGCGCCACGTCCGAGCGGATGCACGGCGTCGCGGACGACGGGTTCGCCGAGGACGCGGCGCTCCTGCAGCCGAGCATGCCCGCGTCCAGGCGACTTGTTTTTTGTCCATGATTTGTTTTGCTGGTGTTGTTATTTGCGCTGCCCGCGCCCAGGCGGCTGGCGGCGGAGCTGAGGGCGGCGTTCGGCCTCCCTGGGCTGGAGTTCACGGTCGCCAAGTACGGTCGCCTGAACGAGTGCGACCGCGTGTCCGTGGGCGACGCCGCGGTGCTGTGGGACGCGGGGGGCGGCTAATTACGTGGTGGGCATGGTGCGGCAGCTGGTCGCCATCGCGTGCCCCCCGCGGATGCCGCAGCCGTTCCACGCGGCGCTGGTGGGGCGGTGGGCGCGCCGCGGCGCTGGCAGCAGCCGCGGCGCGGGCGTCTGGACGACTGCTGGCGCCACGCTGCAGCGGGTGGCGTTCGACGAGGTCACGCGGGCGTCGCCCGCGTAGTCCCTCAGCGGAGGCCGCGCGACTGCGCTCAACCCGCCTGGCTATAGCTAACGGGTGAAAAAAATGAGCCCGCATGCGCGCGGCGGCTGCAGCCGCGCCCAACAACTCGAGCTGCAGCTCCATGCTGCGAGGGGCTGCAGCTGCAGCGGCGGCCCCTCCTCCTCCTTATGCGCATCCCGTCCCCTCCTCCTCGCCCCGTCCCCCCTCCATCATCGCGATGGCGTTGAAATGATTCAACATACGCTAACGTACTTTAAGTTGTTTTAACTTACTTTAACATAGCTTAGCTACCCACTTAACTTGAGCTAGCTTCCGTTAGCTTTCCTTACCATAGTTTAACATAGTTTAACACGGTTTAACATGACTTACATAGCTTTACATAAACCTACATAGCAACTTAGCTGTCGTTAACTTCCCCACCCCGAAGCTAAGTCATGTTAAGCCTTAGCTAAATCAAGTTAATCCAACTTAAACCATCTTGAAGCTTAGCTAAACCAGCTTAAACCATGTTAAGTCTTATAACCCTTAGCTAAGCCAGGATGCATCCAAGCACCCTCCTGGGCCACCCTCCAGGGCCACCCTCCCGGGCCACCCTCCCGGGCCACCCTTGAGACTCCAAGGTCGATCTATAGTGCGGGGTCGAACTATAATGCGGGGGTTATACTTTTCTGCGGGTCGATCTATAGTTCGGGCGCGCCGAAAATAGTTCGACCCGCCGTTTTGGGGCAAACGGGGCTTCAGCGCCCATGCTCGCGCTCGCCCCACTGGGAGGGGTCCAACATATATTTGAGCCGACAGCAATGAATGACAACGATACACACAGAAGCGTTCTTTTCAAAGCATGCGCACAATCGGCTGGCCGCAGAACTTAGAGATGCATGCCGCCGAAAACGCTCTCATGGACCTCCTTTGGCCCCTCCTTCGGCCAAATGCAGCTACAGATCCACCGAAATCCTCATCCCTATAGTTCCAGTGCTTCGCTGGTTCACCGCCGCCCATGCACAGCTCCAGAAACATGTGCATTTTAGGCTTCACTTTAAAATGGGCAGGAAGCGCGTCTTGCAAAGCGGCCGTCTGCGTGGCAAACTTACTCGAATGCTCTCTAAGAATGTCCACAGCAAATGGGTGATTGTCAGAGAGTGCCTCGTAACACCGACATAAGCTTTTCATCCCTGCGTGAATGGACGATTCTACAGCTGCCCGCTCGTCGACGCCATTCCTCCTATCAAGGAAAGCCTCCGCCATCTCCAATGCCCATGGAACCATGTGCCTGAGCATCCCCGCGCCGCACCTCATCTTAGCCGTCGTTGCTTTTTTTCCTTTCACAACGCCCCGCGTCAGTCTCGATAGGCGGCTGGTCTTCTCACCTGGCGGCTGCCTGTCGTAGAACGCCATCAAATGACCATGTAGTGTGGAGACGCGGCCTTTCTGGGTAGTTCCAGCCACCTTTTTGTGCGTTACAAGATACCATAGCAAACCCCCTATGAAGTCAGCCGCTACTCCAAGATCAACAACGTGTAACCAATCTAGCTTCAGCAACTTTTCGTTCGCATACGGCACTTGGAAGAGAGGGCACACCTGCTCGCCTGAAACGATAATCTTCGCAAGGACTTCTGGCCATGTGCGTCGGTGCGTTCTCCACGGCGCGTCTCTCCCAGTCTGCGATTTCACCTGCGGGGAGTAGCCAAAAACACTCCTCCTCCTCCTCCTCCTCCTCCACCCCTCCTCCCCCTCCTCCTCCACCCCCCCTGGAAGGGGCCGCAAAACGACGACGACGCACCCCCTCCCAGAGGGGATTTCCTTCCTCCCCTGATGTGTTGCGCTCCCATGGCCTCGTCCTTCTTGATGTTGCACAGGAAGCATACTTCGTCATCTTGCCAGCCAGGTAGCTTGAGCACCTCCTTCATCATCTTCCAGTCCCCTTTGATCTGGCAAAGCACTCCGCCAATTGGTAGGGTTGCATCGGCCACTTGTCGGCGCTTCCTCCAGGCGTCCTGCGCGCCGAAGGGAGAGCCGTCGTGCCGTGCCGCCGGCCAGCGCTTCGCAGCCAAGTGAACAAAGCTCCGCTGCACCACTGCAAAAACATCATCAAATGTGTTGGGGCCCACGTGCTCTTTGAGGAACGCTGTGATTGGGACCCGCAGGTTTTTCCAGCGCCCCGCAGCCCCTGGCAACATGAGGCTGATGATCTCTGCGCTCATCGATCGGTCCCAAAAGCAAGGGACCCCGTCCTGCCACACGCCCAGGGCCACCAGGTCGTTGCAACCACTCTCCGCCCTGGCTCTTTGCACGTGGCGCAGAGACACGCCGTCGAGACTCGACGTCTCCAGTAGCACGCTCCGCTCGCCAAAATGATGAAGTTGATGAAGTATTTCGTGAGGAAGCATCATCGCTAGTCCATCAGTTGTTCTGTTTCAGACTTGGGTCCCAGCCCCTCACCTGGCAGTGATAGAGCGGAGGCCACCCTTTCCTGAAGAAATCCCGCCTGAACTTCCTGGCAGCGTTTTTCATGCCCGACGTTGTCTCCGTAGTGTGCAGGTCGGAGAGACCTGTCGCAGATGCAGAGACGCAGTCATTGATCAGCTGAGCGCCGCGCTGCCCGCTGACCACGTTGCTGCTTATCAGGTCCTGCACGTTCGCTCTCAGCCGCCTCTCCGGCGGCAAGCCCAACCTGTCATAAGGCAACCGCCGCCTGGAAAGCACCCCGCGGGGCCCGCGGGAGACAGGCGCGAGCGCGGCGGCCTTGAGCCACTGCAGTGGCTACGGACATGCGCGGATGAGGCAAGGGGCCCTTGCCCTTTCCCGCGCCCCTCCTCCGCGCCCTCCTTCAATCCCTTTCATGCCCCTCCCCTCCTGCTACTCCCCTCCTGATGATACCAAGCCCCCCTCCCCCCCGCCCCCCCCTCCCCCCACGCCCCTGCGATGAGGGGGGCTTCTTTACTGGCAAACCCAGAAACACGCGGCCCCTCACGAAGGGGCACCCCTGCAGAGGAAGCGGCAAGTTCTCGTTTTCCCACGGGCGTCGGAAAGGCAGCGCTGCATGCGCGTCGTCGGGCGAGGCAGAGCATCTCAAACCCTACTGCATATATGCATGTAAATACTGATATGTAGATGTAGATGTAGGGCCGCAGCTCAATTGAGGAACTTCTTGAAGCGCTTGACCGAGAGCTGAATGCCCTCGTACATGTGCTCGTGTGTGTTGTAGGCGGCCTGGACCTCATTCTTCAGCTTATCGTACATGTCCGTGTCCTTGCCGACAGAATCAGCGCCCTCAATTTTCGCAATCAGAACCTCCATCGCCGTCTCGTGCTGGTCCGCATTGTCCACGCACTTCTTGCACTCATTGGCCCAGTTCTGGAAGCTCTGACGGTCCTTCTGATCCTGATCCCCAGCCTTCGCGAGCAACTGATTCTTCGTGTGCTTTAGGAACTTCAGCTCCTTCTGATACTTGACCAGCATTTGCCTGGTAGGGATCATAAACAAGCAATGCGCCGACATGCTTTTCAACGCAAACAACGCACGACAGAACGGATACGAACCAGTTTCTATCGCCATCCCCTCCAGGAGGGGCGGCGGGGGCGTGGCGGGGGAGAGGGCCCCCTCTGGGAGGGGTCTGGCAGAGCACCAGAGATGGAAGGGCAGGGGGCGGCTGCCGAGGACGGCGCGCGATCTCGTCCTTCTTACTCACGATCTCTGGCCAGTGCGGATTCTCGATCTTCACCTCGCCGCCCCCGCCCGACCCCGAAGCGCTGGACGACGGGAGCTCGGCCATCCTGATGCCTGCAGCTTCGAGTTGCTTCAGGTTCTTCAGGTTGGACGTCCCCTTGAAGGTGCGCGAGTCCTTCGTCACCAGCTGGTCATCGTCCATGTTGCGCTCGACGAAGTACCACTCCTTCCACAGAGGCCTGTCCTTGACATCTTCCTTGATGGGGAATTCTTCTTTGGTGCCATGCTCTTCGCTGTTCTCCTCCCACCATTCCTGCACGAAGGCAGTGGCTTCCTGGATGTTCGCAAAGTCTTTGATGGTGAGGTTCTTGAGGGCCAGTGCCTGCGATACATTCCGGTACCCTTTCTTGGCAGAGCGCGTGTGCACCTCTTCATTCGTGCATCTCTCTTCGAAGGTGGCCAACCAGTCAAGTGTCTTATCCTTGTCACTCGCGAAGGTCTGCAAGAAACGCTTCCGATCGGCTGGGTCCTTCATCCCGTTCCAAAGCGCCTGGGCTGCTCTGGCGGATTCTGCTGTGCTCGTAGGTTTCCCGCTGCCGTCCTTCTTCTCCGACTGGTACTTGAGCCACGCCCTCATCTTGTCGGCCTCCTGCTTGTCGAGCCCGTGCCCCTTCGGGGCCGCCTTCGACTTCTTCGCCGCTGGTGCGCCCTGGCCCTCGATCTTCTTCTTCGGCGCCATGCTGCACAACGGTGTGAGGAGAGTGCCCAGCAGGAGCAGAGGAGGGACTACTCCTGGGGCGGGCATGGCTGCCGCGGGACTGACCCCTGAAATTTGGGATACAGCAGCAAAATCGAAATGCCCTGCGGCAGCCGAAACGCCTGCGAATGGCAAGTAGATCGTCGGGGGCCTTCCCCGCGCACTTCAGTGGTGCGTGTGGGTGTGGTGTGGTGCTGTGGGTGTGGCGTGTGTGGTGGTACATTTCAGTATCGTCGAGCCTTCCCCTCAGCCAGGGGTTCGTTTCTCTCCCCTCGAAGGGGCTCGCAACCCACGCGGTCGCCTCCTCCCCCTCGAAGAGAAGGGGTGCTACCTCATCAGCGGCGAGGCGGGGAGGGGGAGGGGATGTGCCAGGGCCCC